ATCAGAACAGAAAAAGTTTTCGGACTGGTTTAGCATCAGCAGTGGAGTGCATCAATGAGAGGTGTTTTCACCTATATAATTCAACATTGTGATGAATTATGTAATGCGGAGGAGCGTCGTCTCCAGCAACAGCGAGCAACATTGTACTGCCGAGCGATTCCTCCGGTGGCTTACTGGCACTAACTCGAGAAGTGTGAAGGGGTACGCAGAACCCCACAAAAACGAAGATTTTGCGAGCACCCGACTCGACTAATGACCAAAACATTTAATGGAGTAGAACGACCATCGAGGAGGTCGAAAACTTCAAGTACCTCGGCTCTGTACTGGCAAGAAATGGAAGCTGCGATATGGAAATGAAGCGGCTCTTAGGGCTGGAATCTGTCAACTTCAGGGGACTTTCCAAAGTACTGCAAGACAGATCTTTCCGGACAGCACCAACTACCACCATACTGAAAGCATCCGTCCTGCTGATGTACCGCCTTGAAACATCCATCGTTATGAAGCTCCATGAAAAGCTATTGGACACTTTTCAGCAGCGCTGCTTTCGGAATATTTTGAAAGTGCGAGTATTTCATCGAATAAAGAATGTTTTATGAAGCTCCATGAAAAGATATTGGACACTTTTCAGCAGCGCTGCTTTCGGAATATTTTGAAAGTGCGAGTATTTCATCGAATAAAGAATGTAAGATCTTGAAGACGACCGGCCTGAGAATGCTGTCTGAAGAAATCAGGATTCGGCGTCTGTCATAAAACCATCCGGAGAGGATGGAGACTTGTCCAAAACCATTCTCTACTGGGAAGAAAATAACTGCTGGCACGTCTGAAGGTAGCATCACACCCTAAAGCAGCTGCTGTAGTGTACAACATGACCTCTGTGCAGAAACCATCATTGCCTTAATCGTTCTAAAAAGCCATAGCATCAGCATAATTAATCTGGGTACTCCGTCATTGACCCTGACGTCCCAAATAACGATGGCAACAACAATATTAGTTCCAGAAGAAAGCATACAAAACTGTTGTAACCGTGTCACGTAGTTCCGTAGCATATTGAGTTATGAGCTACATAACCTTAACCGTTTGCATCCTATAAACGGTTAAAATTGTTTAACTCGGAATTTGAACCTGCTGAATCTCAACATTTTTCTGATGCACCGTTTCTAACGAGCAGACATAATAAGTTTGTACTTCTTTGCCATTCTGGTACTATCATGAGAAGACGAAATATTGCAGACGAACATCTTGAAATCCCTTGATGTAAAAAATGAAAGGAAAATCGTCTATGGATATTGAAATATCCAAGATCTGGAAAACCAAGAGTAACATTGGACGATGAGATATATGCATGCACATGTTTCCATAATCAGAGAATAATTACTATCATTCTGTGGTGATGAACGACTGAGTCACACTTGAAAAGAACTGCTGCAGCTGAAGGAGCTAATCATTTCTTAATGTCTTGCGCTTTCTCATTTCAAGGCTGACACTGTGAAGGATGAATTCTTGTCATCGTCAGAGAATAGAGAGTAGAAGGTACTGGAAGGTTGTACTTTGAAAATGAAGGCCAACAATTCACACCGGTCTTCTCGTTGAATGCAGTATCATGACTTTACAATTGAGTGGTTCCACATCCAAAATATTGATTGTATCGTGAATGGATCTGTAGCTGTTTTTAATGTATGTGCATGAACAGAATTTAATAACATCATAGTGACTGTGCCAATTCAATGAAAGACGGACTTGCACCATGCTCCATTCATGAAGCTTCAGATTTTGTGGCAATTTGTTATGGAAATCGCTGTCACTCACTGCTACATGTTAAGGAGTGAAAAAGATACGTTTAACTCGAAAAATTTTATATGAAAGTGTTTAGGTAAAATGAGTTTACGGCATTTTATGTAAAACTTTTCAACTGTCGGAATTTATTCAGTATAACTTACTAACGAGTTGAGAGATGCTCAGATTTTTTGCGATTTGCTTCATTCTTCAAAGTAGTAAATCATCGGATTAGCACAGAAAATGTACACGCCGATTTCCAATTTGTTCGAGTGATGATCCTAATGCTTTCTAGCTGAACAGACGTCAATTTAAAATCAACAACGCAAAACTGATCAAATATATTATCTGCTGCAACTGAGCACCATGACCTCACATCCTCGCGGAAGACAGAGGTGGTGTGGATTTTAATGGAGGAAATGTGACTCGTATGTGAGAAGCGAATGTTGACAAGCCATCGGCCGAAGCGCCTTGAATTCTGATGTCTGTTATTCAGCCTCTGCTTTGTTTAGCCTTAAATGACAACCGCAACAAAAAGAGCACATGTCTTATCAAGATCCACTTATGCTCGTAGATCTAAGCTGTTAACACCGTCTACTTTCCCTCTTGCGAAGCAGTTCTATCGAGAAGTAGCGTGAAGATCAGAACACGGATGCGAAGTCGAACGATCTGACTTACTACGTCGTCAGTGAGTGCCGTTCAATGAGGGAGCAGAACGGTTTGTGTCTGCAGAGGCTGAGGCTCTACGCGTGTTCAAATTAATCAGTGCCGTGCTGGTTTGTTTTGTCGAGTGACTGAACTCGGTTTTTTTTCAGGCCAGCGACTTTAGT